TACACCCACCGCATAGAAGCATCAATGCGGCAGCCGGTGAGGAAGCAGGCGCCAGCTTCAGCATTTCTAAGAGAGTCAGGGATCCAACGCCGCTGGAAGGCATGCCCGCGCTAAGTGATGATTATGCAGTGAAAGGAAGTCATCACAATGACGCCCCTTCCATATGGCGTCGAAGCTGTCTCCCAAGTGTCACCTACGTAAACAAATCACAAATAATTTCATTTCTGGAAAAGTGAATGAACGTTGAATGTTACGACAACCTGAAGGCAAAGAACAAAAGTACTAGTCCTTCTGCTCATTCGCAAGTGCTTATTCTTTCTAAAATATTCCTTGACTTTGGAATGGTACATGCCAAATTTTCAAACGTTTGTGAACAAAACACCGTTGGTGTCATTTGAACATTGCAACAAAGCAGTAAAGTGCTTAATAAAGCAAGTGAAGTTAAACGAAAACTAAATGCGGAAGCCTTCACATCTAGTGAGAATCAAATGTAAGTACACGGTTAATATCAGATTTTGTACACTTCAAACTTCAGATAAATCACTGAAACAATAGCACCACTCCAACAATTAATTTGCAGAAACTTGGCTCTACTCCAGTCCCAAGCTTGTCTCTACAAAAGCATCCAAAACCGCTTGGCTAACTATGGGTAATGAGCAACCAAAACAACCGAGAATGCAAAAGCTCTCCACGAGGGTCACCCACCTCACCAGCCATAGCAATAACGCACCTGTGGCAAGTCATAACCCAAGCAGTAATGACGCCCGCCAAGCAGAGACAACCAAACCCGCTTAGTCACCCCACACAGTCATAAAAGTTTAAGAAACACCACAGTATGGTTGGCCCAACACGATGTTACTGGATAAAGCATCTTGTCGATTCCGTGTTGCATTTCCTCTATCATGACAAGTAATTCAAGCCTGCGGGAAGACAAGGAGGAGTGCGCATAAAGAAATTAACGTGGAAGAAGATACTCACCTTCCCGTTTCATCATGGAGTGCTTGCTTTTGATGGCGTTTACGACCTTGGCTAGTGCATCATGATGATCTCGTTCAACGAGGATACAATGACAGTAAAGTTCGTAAGGCAATCACATGACAGTGACGTCGGGATCAAGCTGAGTCCAGGCATTTGGGCTGCAAGGAAAACTGGGCTCGCAGCTCTGCAAGGACGCACGAGGTGAGCGGTCGGAGAGAGGCGGGTGACACGGGAGCGACGAAAATGTAAGATGAAGAGAATGCAAAAGAGGGGGTGCAGCTGTATGGAAAAAAGAAAAATTCCTAAAGTAGTTGGCTTCATACATTTGGAGCTTTTTAATTCCAGAGGTAGAACACACTATGCACCCGCATTCCTCTGCTGACTTCAAATTGTCCTCACTAGACTTGATCTAAGATTAGTATCCACCTGAGGGGTTCTAATGGTGGGGTGTAACCATCAACACTTGAATCACCACGTGCCTAGGGCTTAATAACCTCGAAGACAGCACCAGCATAATCTTGTCTATTCGATTTAATGTGCAAGAGGATAAGTTTGCATATATACATGCAACATAGAGCTGGGGTAGCCATGTGCAGCGAGTGTTTATGGTAAAGACAAAAGGGAGAAACACGCAATTAATATTGTTTACAAGTTAAAATCAACAGCAGCGCCGTCGCCTACGTGGGACTTTGTTCCCAATGGACTACAATATAAATGCCAACGTCCCGTCGACAACTAGGAGACAGGACATGGCGACAAAACAAAGCACTCACACTGTGCGAACTGACGATAAAATGATTAACTAAAAATACAAAGGTGAATTCAAATACACTTCGACAACCTGTTCAGAGGTAATGTCAGTTTTTGCCCGAATATATGTCTGCATACTTTGCCACTGTGTACTAATCATCAATGACCACCAAAAAGTGGGTTTCAAAGTTGGCAAAAGAATATACTTTTAAATCTCCTCAATTTACCTCGTTTCAAGATATGCAATTGTTGGGATCCTTTCACCGTTGGCGCGGATCCAGCATAATGATAACATAAGCCATCAAACATTGACTGACTCGCAACTGTGTTGGCGACTGACGTTCACAGCAAACTCGGTATTCTTGAAGGTGACACCGGTCTGTCCGAGAGCAAATCACATCCTGCTTTCCCTAATATTGGTGGAGACCACGTAAACCATTCAAGTATTCAATATTGACAATGGATAGCTGACTCATTTGAAACCATGATAGTCCAAACTTCCGACTGTCCTTAAGTGCTGTAAAACAGAGGTGGAGAAATACGATTACAAAGGCTCGCCAACCCTTCACACAGCAGTGACTGATGGCCAAATGTGCGTGAGGAGAAATCTCCCAGTTACTTTGTCGTAACTCGTAGTATAGCACCATGAACTAAAGCCCCTGACTGTAAGACTTGATTTCACTTTATTTCGAGGGTGACATCCCCTACCCACTGCTATTGGGGCCACGTGGAGGGTGACTCGTTGAGTCATTCAGGACCAGCAACATCCCCACTTGTCTGATTGGGGAATTCTGATGACAATATGCAGGAGGCTGCAAGCAACAGTGCGGACACACACCGTAGCAAGATGAAATACGATTAACGAGCGTAGAGAAAGCAAAGGAAGTAACTGACCTGGCCCTTAAGATTCGATATTTATCAAAATCAATCGTCCGGTAGAGGTGGTGTAATTTTTGAAAGAAAAGACTCGTCGTGGTGGTGGTGGTAGAAGTTGAGATTTGCAAACAAATGAACACTTCCAGCGGGCTTGCCATGAATTCGTTTAGAAGTTTTATCGTTCCTGACAACCCAACCGAAAGTACTGGTGGAGATTTGGCGAAAAAAAACTTCGAAGTGAAATCATAAAGGGTATGTACGGTATTCGGTTATCATAAAGAGCTTACAAAAAGTACCATCAGTGACATTTGGAACAGTCGAAGTGCACCCACGAAGTCATCAATAACCATGAATAGGCGGCAAAATTAGCATTTGCTAGTGCATCAGGATTATGCACCGAAAC